TCTCTTTATTTGAAATAACTTCTTCCACACCTGTATCTATATTAACACTTCAGCTCAAATATTTTCAAACTTATGTTGGAAGACTTTCTCTGATTCTTCATAAAACTGACATTCCCTTTGCTTTAGAGAAAGTATGCACCTTTTTGTGGTCTCTCATATCGCAGAAGGACATGATGATTTATTTGCTTTATTGTAACGTAACCCCTTTGAACTGGCAAATTCATCAAAACTGTGACAGCAGAATCAAGGATTACATATAAGCAACACATGATAAAAGATTAATTAATATTCGTTAGTTTAAAATTTAATGATTAACTAGACAAGCAATAGATGTTAAATATTTTTATTCTCCATTTACAAAAGAGAATTTGAGACTCAAGGAAGTTGAATGATTTTCTCAATAATGGTGCCAGGATTCAAACTAAGTTCCTGTATATTCCAGTCAGAGAGCTTTCTCCATTATTCAGAACTAATTATTTCTTAATCATGTTGTGGTTTCCTACTGCTAATGATATGACACCAAGTTATCACACATCAGAAATTGGCTTAGGGACAAATCATGGCAGAGAAGGAACTACTTTGAGAATTAATGTTTTGGCAAATTAGGTTATGTGTGAATTTTGAACAATTATGTTTACAACAGCCATGGCAATATACTTGGTTGTGGTACAGTCTTAACATTATGGGTCTCTAGGGGATATTCAGTGGATTCCATCACATAAGGCTTATTGTAAAATAACTTTTGACTAAAAATCAGATATTGGAATACAATGACAACTAAATTTTGCATGTATAAACTTACTACATAATAATAATTTTGAAATAATTTAAAATCTCAGATACATCTTGATTTAAATTAAAACTTAACTTGGTTTTAATTTAAGGTTTCTTTGTCTTACACATTTGTGTGAAATTGTACAAATTTATGAGCTTCCATACTCTTAGTTTCTCTCCAGGATTTTCATCAAAATTCTTAGCTCGAAGTGTATGTCAACAACATAAAAATCTTATAATTAATATTATATTCCTGAAAAAACAGCAATGCTTCTTTGAAAACTCTTGAGATTTTCAAATGCTGAGAAACACATGTAAATTACTAGATAAAAAATGAATAATTTTGCTTTTATAAGTTCCATATAAATTTAAACATCTTCCATGATAATTATTCCTTAAGACAGCAGGTGCAATTCATGAGGTTGTTACAATATTAGCCTTTCTTGTTTTTTAGGAATTAATATCTATGGGTCAAGGATATGTTTTCTAACATCAATGTCATTAAGTCTTACCATAATTAGAAGAATGATATTAATATAAAAATTATAGAATGACATGGAAAATGGTCTGAAAATGTTATATTTAGCTAGCTTTCATAATTTGGAGATATTTGATTCTAGTGTATGAGCTTGTAACAATGAAAGCAATATTTTATTCAAAATTTGAAATATATTACTGTCACAGAAAATGTATAGTCCCCAGGCCAAGTAATCTGTATCAGAAGCAAATTTATGTTTATGGGCATTATATATTGTTTCACAATTTTTCAATTTCAGTTTGTGGCATCTAAGAAACAGCAAAGTGAAATATTCAAATAAAGCTGATAATGAATCAAGTTTGTGAAAAATAATATTTTAGATGGATTTTTATGTAAAAGTTAACCTTTACTATTAACTGTCCACAGCAAAGATTACTTTTCTCTGGAAAACATTGTGGAATCTATGCCAGAATTTAAGTAATAGAAAGTAAAAAAGTTTGCAATCTTATAGCAGTGATTAATTATCTAGACACCAAGAACTCTCAGATATTTTTATTCTTTAAGTATAAAACAGGGATTACAATTTATATCTTGAAGAAATTTGTAGTAAAAACCTCCTATTGTATTCAAAAGCATTAGAACATTCTTTAACTTTGTTAGAGGAAGAGAAAATTAAAAATAAATGGACTAACAAAGGGGAAAATCAACAGTATATGTAAAAAAGGCATGTTTATTATTTGCTTAATGAAATCTGAAGCCCTCAAAATTGTGACTCCTTGAACAAATCCTGTTTTTGTGCTAAAGAACCTGGTCTTATAAGCTGCTTTAGTCTGCATTCATTTGACTCGTCATTCATTAAACTAGATTAGAACTCTTTAGTATAAAAATATGATATATTATCATTTTCAACAAATATTTACATTTAACTATGTGTTTTGATGATGTATATTTTAATATTATTGTTAAAAAATTTAAGCATGTACCCCTAATTCCTGGTCTTTCGTAATTTTCATAATTTTACAACATATTTTCCATTTGCCTATGTATTCAACTGCTTGATTATTTTGAGGTAAATATCATACATCATTTCATTTCACTCTCAAATATGTTGGCATTAATATCTAAGATAAAGATTTATTTTTAAAATTATAACCACAAGATTATTTCACTCTTAAAAATCAGTGTTTCCTTAATGTCATCAAAAGTTCAGATTTTCCTGATTGTGTCATAAGTTTTTATTGTTGTTTTACAAGATCCAAATAATATCCACACATTCGAATCAGTGTATGCTTTTTAAGGTTCTTGTCAATAGCACTAATTTTTTTTTCTCTCTCTCATCCCCTTTCTCCGTCTCTCTCTTTCTCTTGCAATATATCTGATGAAGAATTTGGAACATTCTCCTGTTTGGGTTATACTGATTGCCCCTTATGGTATGATTTAAGATGCTCCATGTTTCTCTGTAACTTTTGTAGATTGCTAGCAAAATTGAGAAGATAATGGAGCATTTTGAAAATCTATCAAAATAATGAAGGAAAGACAAGAGCTGAAGAGTCAGATATTTTTCAGGTGTAAATGGGATGCAGAGTTCAATTTCCCTATATCTCTGAGGTCCAGAGATATATCAAAAGTCACAGTTTGTTGATGGAATAAGTTTTAGTAGATTCTAGGAGTCCTGAACACTATAGATAGAAATAAAAATTTCATTCAGTCAACACAAAGTGCTTTGTAGCTAATAAAGATCCATAGGATATGTGAATATAAATGTTGAAGTTAAAATTTGAAAAACCATTGTGTCTTTCCTACTATATACTGAACCTATGATATTAGGCAAGTTCTGGATTCTCCAAGCCTATAGAAGACACTAGAATAGTTAGGAACTTTCTTTTCATAGCAAAAGCACGGAGATAGAAATATGTCATCAAATAACATTTGTTTATCTGTTAAAGAATGCAGTGTGCCGTGGTGCCCACCTATAATCCCAGAAACTTGGGAGGCTGAGGCAGGAGGATCTTGAATTCAAAGCCAGCCTAAGCAGATTACTGAGGCATTTAGCAACTCAGCAAGACCTGGTCTCTAAACAAAACATCTTTAAAGAGGCTGAGGTTGTGGTAGAGCACTCACCTAGCAAGTGTGGGTTCCATCCTCAGCACCACATAAAAATAAATAAAATAAAAATATTATGTTCAACTACAACTAAAAAAATATTTTTAAAAAAGCATATTTAAAAAAGAAGTCTGGTGATTGAGTTCAGTGGTTCAGTGCCCCTGGGTTCAATCCTTCACAAAAAAAAAAAAAAAAAGAAGTATATTTATCTGGACTGCTGTGTGTCCATATTAAATTTAACAAGTGTCACTTGAAAGTAAAGCATTTCATATATTGAAGGCATGATTGCAAATGCAGCAAGTTTCAGAGGTGGGGCTTTTAGGCAATGATTAAGGCACTTACCTCATCAGTGAATTAATCCATTTGCTGGATTTATATATTATCAGGTAAATAGACAACTCGAGTGGTAACTATAAGCACAAGGGGTTATACTTGGCTAAAGACAGTAGGTCATGGGAGGCATTATTTGGGAGACTACATCTTTTCCTTGGTTCCTCTCACCACCTCCCTCGCTCTCCCTCTTTTTCTCTGCTTCCTGGCTTCCAGGTGCTGAGCAGCTTTCCTGCACAGTGCTCTTCCTCCTTGATATTCTGACTCAGGCCCAGAGCAATGGAGTCAGCCAGTTGTGAACTGAACCTCTGAAACCATGATCCCAAAGTAAACTTTCCCTTCTCAAAGAAAAAAAAAAGTGCAGCATTAAGGGTCTCCTCAAACCAATAGAAGCCAGTAGACCTTTATAATTGTTTTTGTATAGTTGACTTGAGTGCCAATAACTAGGTTTTGAGATATATTAAAGAGAACACTTTTAGCTAGAGTTCTAGGTGTATAGGAATTGGCTCCTTTATTTCTGTCTTATTATATTTTAAATATTGTGTTGAATAGTATGCCATTCAATCTCTAAAGACGTCACTAAAAGCACATAGAATTTCTGCTTTTAGATTTCCTAGTAATTGAAGTTTCTTAGTTCAGCAGTTATCCAGAAAATTGGCCAACCTGAGACACATCCATTATATGAAACTCCTCCTTAAAGCCTCAATTTCCTCATTTATCATTAAGGAAGGATGCAAACTGAAAACTCTCTGTGACCCTTATTTTTGCAATATCTCTATTCTCACTAAGTGAAGAATAACAGTCAAGAATTGTTGAATCCAAAATAATCAGCAAGGTGTCATTGCCATAAAGGTGAACACTGGAATTTGAAAGGTCTAAAAGCCCGTTGTCGCCATATATTTTATGTACTATTTTAGATTATAAGAACAAAAATAAATCAATAATTTATGTTCAGGATTGCTTCCAGAATGCTCCTATTAAAGTAGATATACTTTCCTAAATTTTGTGGCCATTTCTCACTTCTCACTAATATTGTTAGGATAAATGAGATATGATCAGGGTCTCTGAGATTTATTAGCAATTATAGATTTGGCCTCCAAGGACCCAGAAAGACAAATGACTGAAGTGGGTTCTCCTTGTTCATCTGAGTGATATTCAAGAAATTGGATAATGCTGTGTACACATAAGGTAGGTTAGATAAGGATACCAAAAAGGTTAGCCAGAAGTTTATAAAGATAAGGAAATGTGGTGATCTTAATTACATTTTTCTACTTTCTATAACAATTTTGTCTAAATCTAGGCTTTGTCTTTCTAGGATCCCTCCAGTTAATCAGAGCTGACTTCATTGACAGCTTGCTCTGGTTAATTACCACAGTGTTTTAACTGAATGCCCCAAGGAATTGATGTAGCCAACCATCACTTCAAGCCTCAGAACACAAGAAATCTTGGCAGAGCTCTGGAGACAGTTTATCAATATCTAAGGTATTTATTATTTTCAGAAAAACTGCACAAAGTCTCTAGATGGCTAGATAATGACATGACAGTATTTACATAATATATTTAACTATTTCTTGAAAACCAAAAATTATTTCTTGCTAATATTTGAGCCAAATACTTTGAAAAACCATTGATACACTTTTTATAAGGTAAATCTTAAATGACTGTTTTATTTAACAATTCTGAAAATTTAATATAAAATATCATTTTATTTTTAACAGATATTTGGGTCACTGAAATAAGAGATAAGATTCAATTATTGCAATAGATACATTTTTGGCCTGAGCATTGGGAAACATAAACTTGTAGTTTACAATTGACTACCTGTCATCTGTGTGACCTTGGCAAGATAGCTTACTCATTATGAGAGGGAGTGTTGGTTCATTTATTTATTTATTTTTAATCCCCCATCTAAAAAGCAGCTTGCTTCCATGTTGACCTATTCAGGTTCATCTCTCCCACTGCCTCCTAACCTCTCCAGGTTCTAGGCCAGGGTACTGCAGTTTCTATAATGGTCAGACTTGCCGATGTCCTCTAGCTTTTAGGCCATTACACCTGCTTATCAATGGAAAGTTTGTAGGCAAGATTCTGCAACACTCTCCCCCATCTCTACCTCACTTTCCCTTGACTGTATATTAGTGCACCTTTTTAGTGTGGTGTAGATGCCCTTCCTTCCTGGAACATTTCCTGATTCTTCTCGTCTCCATCCTGAGGTTGTTGGGTGTTCCTGGGCGTTCTCCCATATCTCTAGTATGGATATACATCCTGTTTCCAGATGTAGTCCCAGCTCACATCTGTCTTCCTAACTGAACTATGTATAGTGACTAATTTCATCTCAATTTTGTATAACAAATTCTACAGCTACACTACACAGCGTACTTTTTAAATTCTTGTCCTTCCATTTTTAGCTTTGTGTAGTAACTGCCAATTTAAGCACCTGTTTTTTTTTTTCCAGAAGTATGTAAGAGACTTAGAACCAGATGAATTGTGTCTCACTGGTCTCTCTATCACCAGAACTTCTAGGAAGTGTCAAGCTGTTGTGTCTAAATATCTACTGTAGCTATGGATCAGGTTACTGTTAACATTTCTATTGTTGGAAATTGACAATTTTTAAATTCCAAACTCATGTTGGAATCCAGGGCCAAAGGGCTATTGATTATACATTAGCAGTAAAAAAGTAATGTGTGCAAACTAATATGCATTTAATTATTTACCTGCTATATAGAAAATATAATCTATTAAAATATTGCAGAATTATTAAATTTATTCATAACAAAATCAAAAACATAAAATAAATATTGCATAGTGAATGTAATATTTTTCTATATCTTATTGAACCATATTGAATATTTCCTAGCATGTGATTTTATTAAATAATTTTGTGGAAATAACCAAAGGGAATGTATAAGGACATCCCTTTTCTAGAAAAAAAATTTCTAAATAAATGATTATGGTTTTTATTCTTAAAGGGCTTCTCGCTCTAATCACAATTATTAAATAAGGAAGAATAGGAAAAATCAACACAGGAAAGCTTCTGATACTCATAAATAAATTGAATATTTGAAAATAATGAACCTAGGGCTGGGAATGTGGCTCAGGCGGTAGCGCGCTCGTCTGGCATGCGTGCGGCCCGGGTTCGATCCTCAGCACCACATACCAACAAAAATGTTGTGTCCGCCGAGAACTAAGAAATAAATATTAAAAAATTCTCTCTCTCTCTCTCTCTCTCTCTCTCTCTCTCTCT